CCCACTGAACCCACCCAATATCGAAGCAGCACCCACGGACCTCCCAATCAATGTTGGCCCACCAACAATTGAAGAGATATGCATGGTCATCAGACAAATCAAGAGTGGCAAAGCAGCAGGACCGGACAACATTCCAGCAGAGGCACTGAAAACAGACGTAGCGGCAACTTCAAGGATACTCCACATTCTCTTCAATAAGATTTGGGATGAGGAACAAGTACCAAAAGACTGGAAAGAAGGACTCCTGATCAAAATACCGAAGAAAGGCGATCTCAGCAACTGTGATAACTACAGGGGCATCACTCTTCTTTCAATACCGGGAAAAGTCTTCAACAGGGTATTGGTAAACAGAATGAAGGACTGCGTAGACGCCCAACTTCGTGACCAACGGGCAGGATTCCGTAAGGATAGATCGTGTACAGACCAAATCGCAATTCTACGGATCATTGTGGAACAATCAATTGAATGGAATTCATCACTCTACATTAACTTCATTGACTACGAAAAGGCATTTGAAAGCGTGAACAGAACAACACAATGGAATCTTCTTCGACACCACGGCGCGCCTCAGAAGATAGTCAATATCATACAGAAATCATATGATGGATTACACTGCAAAATCGTGCATGGAGGGCAGTTGACAAAGTCGTTCGAAGTAAAGACAGGTGTCAGGCAAGGTTGCATACTCTCACCCTTTCTCTTTCTCCTGGTGATCGACTGGATCATGAAGACGTCAACATCTGAAGGAAAACGCGGGATACAGTGGACATCTAGGGTGCAGCTGAACGATCTAGACTTCGCAGATGATCTGGCCCTTCTATCCCAAACGCAACAACAAATGCAGGAGAAGACGAACAGTGTGGCAGCAGCCTAAACACCAGTAGGTCTCAATATACACAAAGCGAAAAGCAAGATTCTCCGATATAACACAGCATAAAACAATCCAATCACACTTGACGGAGAAGATTTGGAAGATGTAAAACCCCTTACATATCTGGGCAGCATCATTGATGAACATGGTGGATCTGATGCAGATGTGAAAGCGCGGATCGGTAAAGCAAGAGCAGCATATTTACAATTGAACAATATCTGGAACTCAAAACAACTGTCAACCAACACCAAGGTCAGTATTTTCAATACAAATGTAAAAACAGTTCTACTGTCTACTGTGGTGGAAACCTGGAGAACTACGAAAGACGTCATCCAGAAGATACAAGTGTTTATTAACAGCCGTCTACGCAAAATACTTCAGGTCCGTTGGCCAGACACTATTAGCAACAACGTACTGTGGGAGAGAACAAAGCAGATCCCGGAGTAGGAAGAAATCAGGAAGAAGTGCTGGAAGTGGATAGGACACACATTGAGGAAAGCACCCAACTGTGTCACAATTCAAGCCCTCACATGGAATCCTGAAAGCCGAAGGAAAAGTGGAAGACCATAGAACACATTACACCAAGAGATGGAGATAAACATGAGAAAAGTGAACAAGAATTGGATGGAATTAGAAAAGAAGGCCCAGGACAGAGTGGGTTGGAGAATGCGGCGATTTCCAGAGAGTTTCTTTGTTATGTCATACAGTTGTCTCATGTCTCCTTCTCTTGCAGCCTTTTCCGCCGTCATTGTTAGATCTTCCACATATTTACGTTTGTCGGTTCTGATGCTCATCTTCACTTGTTTGTTTACTTCTGTATATTCAGCTTGTGCCTTGGCTTTTTCTGCTCTTGTTTGGCTGGTATTGATTGCTGCCTTCTTGTTCCTCCTTTCTTGAATCTTATCCAGTGTATCAACAGTGATCCATTCCTTGTGATGGTGCTTCTTGTGACACAGGACCTCATGACATGTTGAAGTGATTGCCTCTTTGATCCCCTTCCAGTTGCTCTCCATAGTAGTTCCTTCTCCATTGAGTAGATCATGAAAGGCCTGGAACTTGTTGCTGAGGACTATCTTGAATTTGTTGAGTTTGTTTGTATCCTGAAGAAAGGCCGTATTGAACTTTTGTGATATTGTCCGCCCCGTTGTCCAGTACTTCTTAAGTTCTACCAGCAAGTGATGATCTGATGCTATATCAGCTCCTCTCTTGGTTCTCACGTCTTCCATCGTCCTCCTGAACGTTTTGTTGATGCAAATATGGTCGATTTGGTTTTGCGTGGTGTGATCCGGTGAAGTTCAATTGCTTTTGTGAACGCGCTTATGTGGGAATATGGTGCCGCCTATGACCAGTTTATTGAAGACACATAGGTTTGCAAACCTCTCACCAATTTCGTTTTTTTCTCCCAGTCCGTGCCGTCCCATGATGTCTTCATATCCAGTGTTGTCCGTTCCAACCTTGGCATTGAAATCTCCCATCAGAACGGTCAGGTCCTTTGTTGGGCACTTCTCGACGATTGACTGCAGCCTATCGTAGAATTGATCTTTAGCGTCCTCATTGTAGTCGTTGGTAGGCGCATAGCATTGGATGTTCATTGAAGTGCCCTCTTTCTTTGTTCTGAAGGAGGCTTTGATGATCCTTGGCCCATGAGATTCCCATCCTATAAGTGCATTTTGTGCTCGTTTGGACAGCATCAATGCAACTCCTTGTGTATGTGGAGCATTTTCTTCCTCACGGCCGGAGTATAACAGAAGCTCCCCTGAAGTTAGTTGTTGTTGTCCAACTTGCGTCCAATGTGTTTCGCTGATCCCAAGCACCTCCAGGTTGTATCTCCTCATTTCTGCAGCAATTTGGAAGGCTCTCTCGTGTCCCACATTGTACGAACATTCCATGCACTTAAATAAATGGTTGCTCTGGTTGTCAGAAGGGGCATCGGCCTCGTGACTTCCGAAGGAATTCGGCTTTTATCATGAGGCGTCATAGTTCTTCTAAATAAAGACCTTCTGATTTCCAGGGCAGAGTTTAAAAGGTTCGAATATTTTTTTCTGGTTAGCGTTTTTTAGCGATTTAGTTTTCTACGGGATGGGGTCGATAGCCCCATGCCCAACCCTTCTCCTTTATCCAGGCTTGGGACCGGCAGTAGCCCTCGGAAGGACTCCACGCGGAGTAAACGTGATTTAAGAGGTTTTGATTAATTAGTGGTGAGGTCTCTGATCATGGCACTGGATGATATTGATTTAAAGTGCACCATTTTCCTCAAGGTTATAAACAACTCTCATAGTCAAGTGCGATCTAGCGCAAAATCTAGGTCTGGAATCGTCCGTCAGTTGCCGCTGACTACCTAAAAGTATGCACATACATTAAGTTACTAAATACGACTAACACAATTATGTTATTGCCAGAGCTCAGATAGATACACCCTTCTGATAATTAAAAAATCGTGTGAAATTAAAGATCTTATATTCTGCTCATTAACTGCGACAGAAATTCTAATGATTTTTCTTGCTTTAAGAACGTCTTAAATTCATTTTAATTAAAATATTCTTCTCATTTGTTTGATGTCAATCAAAGGAATAGATTGAACCTCATTAGAGCATTCTAATGATTATTAGAAGCAACTTAAATGAAATCCTCAGCATCATTTGGAAAACGGTTACAACAGCTTTCGATATATTTTCAGTGTATTGATTGACACCGGGATTTTAAATTCAGTGATAGAACAATACCTTAGAATCAACCAAGACAAAAGGTTTGTATGCAACCTGATGAGGTTTATTAGTCCAGTTTTGACAATATCACAAAAGAAGAACTAAAAGGTCTGTTTATTCCTGCTAATTGATTAAATACATCCGGAAGAAGCCATCGATCTAGGTTTTATTATAGACGAATAGAAGGATACTTCTACTGGAGCTTAATCGGCATCACTCAGCTTGGTTCACCGAATAATTTAAAAATCAATACTAAAGTCTTACTCTTCCACAAATCTTTATACTTTTCCGGATATTCAATGTATTTTTTAAAACTAATCTATCACAAACATTAAAAATACTTTCACCGTTTGATAGTATAAAAACTATCATTTCAATAAATATTAAACCACATATTCTTTGAACTATTTTAACCAAAACCATGTAGTTTTCAAGAATATACCAAAAAGAAATTCCTCGTTATTTTATTTTTATTTTAATGTGAAATAGTCTTCTACATTAAATGACAGATGTAGTAGTATCAGTCATTACCTTTACGCCATATCATTTGTATTAAAATCATGAATTTTATCATCAATATAGCAAACAACCTTTCAGATTCGTCCGTCTTACGTATGATAAAAGAAAATTTCTTGAAAAAAAAATTAAATTGATGAGGAAAGTAATTATTTATAATTAATAAATGTAACTTCATCAAGTTCTTTATTCTACCATAAATATAAAACCTATTGTTGAACAGGATAAGTATTTACTAATAATGAATTTATCATTTCAAAAGAAGACAAACACAATTAAATTAAAACAAAATATTTTTTTTAAAAAAACAGTTTTTTGTGTACGCTGAATCGAATATGTGCATTTTGTAATCATTCCCTACAATAGTAAAATTGATCAACAAACAATTCATGAAAACATCTATTGAAATGTCTTCCTGTATCATATTGTATGGAGAGTTATTGAAGCTTATACACAAATGAAATATATAACAGTTTAAAAAACAAAAAGAATGAATATGGATTATCAAACCAAAGACGATTCACATATATGAACAGTAAAACTGGAAGAGGTTGTGATGAAATTTTATAAATAAGAGAAAAATTTATGCATTACACAATATGTTAAAGAATCTAATGAAAAAAGATTATTCTACTTTAAACAGTGATGCTTAGTGAAAATGATAATTCGAAATTTGTAAATAGTATCTCCTTTCATGTTTGAAATTTGTTCGTACAATAATTGTATGTCAAAGAAACAAATTATCGATAGTTATTAAGAATGAAAAAAAAAACATGTAAATTGTTTTGCTAGCCAAGAGATCTAGAAAATAAAAATATATTAACTAATTATGTTTTAATTCAATTTCATTAAATTTTTTTTTTGAGCAAAAAGTCGTTCATTAGTATCTCTTGATACAGTCAACAGTTTTAATCATCGCGAAATGCTGGTGGAACTTCTGGTTCAGTACTTCGTGGTACTGAAACAACTACTGCAATTACTATGGTGGTAATGTAAATAAAGAAAAATAAACGATCCAAGACAATAGCCAAAGTGCGCCATTCCATAGCCACTAAACTTTTACGAGCTGTTTCCTTTTGTCGGTTAACTAACATTTTGACATATTTTTTCAACTCTCTCACATCACGCTCCAGTGTAGTGGTTGAACTTAGAACTGATGGTGATTCATCATGATTAACTGCATTATCTGGCTCATTTTCTGATGATTTTCCTGCACTTCCCGGTATATGAGGTATATTATTGATTGGTGTGGCCATTGGATAAGAATCGAATTGATTAGGGTATCTTGGGACAGAACGACGTTCATCTGGAGCAAACCAATTACTAGCAGCTCCTCCTAATTGTTCTTCTCCATACAAAAAATTACTACCAATCATATTGCATTGTTGAAATGCCCCACCTCCAAAATGTCTAATACGTTCATTCTCACAGTATGTTTCTTCATTTGTTGGAATTTTATTGGGTGACATACCTGGAATTTGAATCTTCTTGTGAGGTTTTATTATTGCCGGCCTAATTGGTTTTTTCATTTCTGGTAGAGGAATTCGCTGCCGTACTAATGTGAGTCGTCCAATACCCTCTATAATAATCTGAAAAATCAGGGAAAATATAGAATCTTTTTTGAATATGAAACATATCAAACTTAGTAATCTACTTAACTAGTTAATAAGTATTTCCACCTATGTCAAATAAACCTGATTACATAGTTTCATTATTATATATATATCAGTATCTAAATTATTAAAAACATTTACACAATCATCTTGTTCACTCAGTTTATCAACAACATATTGTGATAATGCGATTTAACTTGAAATATCAAGGAACATCTAAAGTACATAGCACTTAATTATGTTAAACATAAGAAAAATTATTAGCGCTTTATTAAGTTTTTTTTCCCTAGACTTAATTTACAATAACAAATTGTCGTAACTAATGAATCAATTAGTTGTATAGTTATGCTAAGTCTAAAATATAAATATTATCTTTCAATGCTATACTTTACTAGTAATCATATTTTCCGTATTTGGTATAGAGAATAAGTTAGTTCAAAATTTAAATCATTCGTACAACTGATTATCAGATTATTGATAAGTATTACCTACCATTTTAAACTAAGTAAATATGTTTAAGTAGTCTTTATTTATTTTAACAGTCAAATTCACGACTCGATCTAAGCCAGACTATCACTGAAAACCTGGAAGCACTGGACAGTTGTTTCGTCCTAGTGTAGGACTCCTCAGCACTGAGCATCCACGATCGCCACACGCCGGACTCGAACTTGTTTTAAATACACACAAGCTGTGTTAATCCACTCCGAAGAAGTGGCTTACACCAAGTCACAAAACGTCAGAAATACAATTTTCTACTCATTGGGATATAAGAAAAATATTTATTACTAACTTTCTACCCAATGTTCAATTTATTTGAAGCTATTAAGTCCAACCTTAACGTTGATACTTATATATAGTATTTTTATTTAATTTTACTAAACTATTTACAAAGACACTTACTCTTCTCAAAACGTATGGAACTGATCCATTACGATCGCCTCGAAAATAAAGGTGAATCACCAAAGTTGCCAAGAAAGTGGACAGTGTGATCATAATCATATTCAAACAAAAATACACTCCTAAAGTTGAAGAAATATTAATCAAAAAAGACTATCATTGTTATTTGGAGTAAACTTTAATCAATAGAAAATTTATTATTATTTAGTGGGAAGTAACTGTACTTATATCATTTCGGAAAGTAGATGATCCTGTTGAAATGTTAATAGATAGCTTCTTATCAGAATTACCTAATGACACTAACCATTTGGATATTTGTATAATATGTATTGTGTTACAATTTACTACTAACATATATGTAATAAAAATCCTTGTGTTGTTGGATGATTCTAAGTATTACTATTCATATTACTTGAATGTAGTTCATCGGTCTGTTCTATTGTATTATTTCATATCACTCCCAAAGGTAGCAATGAAATATTTCATTCAATATGATATAATCATTTATATATTCACTTAGTACTTATTATTTAAATATCCAGTAAACTCAAATAAGTGATTTTTTTAAATAGTAACATTTTGTATTAAGTAAAGTAAATAAGTGAATAAACGTACCAATTAGTGGGAAATTTTTCACAGCACTAGGTGTTGACTCAGCCAACAGTAAGAGTAAAACGAAAAATGCAACAAATATATTCATACCTGATTTGAATAAAAAATCGAAATATTTACCAAAAAACACAACGAAATAGACTTAATCAATTTAAAGAACTTATGGAGAAAAAATGTCATGAAAGATACATATATATGTTTGTAACTGTTGCTATGCCATATGATTTAATAATAGCAAAATGATATCTTAATAAAATATTTTCAAGGCTAAATACAGAATGTTTCAATGGTTAAATCGTAGGAACTAATACTCATTTCATCAGTGAAAGTAGAAAGTAAACCTTTTTTAAGATATACAGATTAGGAGTACTGGACTAACGAATAGAACAATCTGATATTTTGAAATACCTCATAGATTTATTTTAAAATAAAATGAGAGCTACATTCATATCAAAGGAATGACTTAAACTAATTCATCTTTTCATATGAAAATTTATGGTGACAACACATTCATTCTCTAGATCGTAAAGCAGAGCATCTTGATACCGCCTTTTTAAGCTAAATTTTAAAAGAACCCTGAATATTTTATTGGAATTCTTTTTGAAGATATTGTTTTAATTTTCCCTTAGTAATTTTACTGTAAAGTCTAAAATACCCGGAAGAAACATTTAGTACTCAGGTTAATTAAAATAGATAACAAAAGTAAGTCACAGTGAAGTCATAATATCAGCAAAATGGTACATGTGTTGCTATTCTTACCAAGCATCATTTTTGCTGGAGATTCTGGAGGCAACCAAAATACAACCAATGTTAAAGATGATAACAACACACATGGAATCACTAACATGAATACATAAAAACTCGGGTTCCTTCTCAAACGTATTAAATATCGTAAAACTGGATATTCTCTTGTGATCACTTCGTTACCAACAGTTTGACTTCGACGTCGATGTTTCTTAACTGATCGAATTTGTATAGTACGGTTGACATGGTGTACTTCACGTTCTTTCTCGCCATCAGTGCGCCATTCATTACTTGGTACGTAATCTGAGAAGTCTAAATATGGCATTTCTTCTATGGGAGGTGAATCTGGAATCCACCATGATATGTCCATTTGTGTTTTATCGTACGTCCAAGATCCGAATTCTAGCATACATATCTATAAAATAATCCACATGTATTAGACTAATGAAATAATTTAATACAAGCTTCTTTTATTTTAAGTAATCTTAAAATGTGATTCAGAAATATTACACTTGAGTTTTGTTTTTAAAAAACAAATCTGTAAATCACAATATCAAAGTATTACAGTTTATTCTTTGGGTTTTAATGAAAAACTAACATATAGAATCGATCAAGTCTGACGTCAGAAAGTAATTCGTCGATTACGTTCAGTGAGGATTTTTCTATGACACGGATCGATTAGGACTTTATGTGTGAACCGTATTGCTTTAATCCAGTTTACTATTTATATCTTGCTCAATGTGTCATCTAAAAAACATAGACTGGATACCGCTTTGCATAAAGTAAGAGCTATTCTCATCAAACATCCACACTTCAAACAAAATATACTGTTTAATACCCTTTCGTCATATTTCACAGAAACTGCTGTTGATAAGAATCACATTTAAGCTGTTAAATCAATGCTATTTCTAGTGGTTTTGTAAAAGTATAGGAAATCATGCAAAATTGGAGACGATTTTTCACTCGAAGTAAAGTAGACATTTATTTATTGCTCCTAGTGCTTTCAATATATGAACATAAATGTCATATCACTGCACCAGACAACCTAATTACTGCACATATTTTATAGATAGATTACCTAGCTGGGTAATGATGCTTTCAAAAGTAATTATGGAAGTTTTGAAAACGAAAACATTTTCTTTAATTATCAACCAAACATAAAAATCATAGGCAACTCTAAACAGCATGAAATTAACGACAGACTGGAAATGACATCAATGTTTCAATTATTGTTAATATAACTAATATAATTACTCATTTGTATCATTTCTATTATTCCTTTAACAATCAAATGAAAATAGAAATAAAATAAAATTGACGGCCAATGTCAGTTATTAATGATTGTCAGAGTAGTTTGCGACATATTAATATCAACTGTCTTGAGTTAAGTATAAAAATCAATTAAAGAATATTATTAAACGTGATTAAATTCATTGTAAATACACTCTCATAAAACTTGGTAACTTCTTAATAATTCCAATTCAAAGCAAAAAATTAACTACATTTTGATTGCTGTGAAAACACAATTGCCTTTAGTTATATTCGCGTCGCTTCTGGACATGAAATGTTGGCAAAGGCATACGAGATGAAGTGATATGTCGTTGTCATATATGTTGTCAACAACAATCTGTCAAAAAAGACTTCTTAGACTCAGTCTAAATTTATATCTAGACAAACCATGTTATTTGTATCTCAATGAATTATATGGACGCCAGTACCCAATGTAGTGGTTTTAAAAGACATGACAAATTAAAAAATTGTAGAGTTTTTACTATAATAAGTAAATCTACACTGAAATTTTAATAGTGACCACTATGGTTGATAGAGTAGGGAGATTTATTCAAGTAGAAGAAACGGTATTTCGGAAAAATGTACAATGCAGGGAGGAACAAGATTCGCAGCATTCAAATGTCTTACAAGGAAAGATGTTCTTCAACTTCAAGGTAGTAGGAAAATACTACCTGTTTTCTGATTACCTAAAATCGGTGTAAAAATGCCTGTACCATCTTAACAGTCATTTGGGGTCACTGATATGAACAAAAGTTACCGAACATGAAAAACAGATATATATTTCCGTGTCCGAATTATTATGAAAAAAATATTTCAATTTAAGAAGAATGATATTACTAAGCTCAGTGATTATTTTTTTTATTACCAATGATATTCAAAAATGTTTACTATCTATAATACAGTGACCAAATCGAAGATAAATTGTCTAGATAGAGCAGAACTTCTCAAGTTCACAACTATTTATTAGAAATGACAATTTCACTAAACAAAAACATTAAAAAACAAACAAACGTAACCAGAGAACAGGAAATAATATTGATTAACTGGAATATGAGTAGATCGCCTTGAAACTATTGATTTTGAAGCACCTTAGTAAATGGCTGTAAAGAAACTGTCAAGAAAACTCCATACAATAAATCATATTATCCTACTTAATACCTTAAAGAGTTACTTAATTTAATAGTAGTTTTCGAAATAAACCTACATTACTTACTAATTCTCCTATCTTCGTATGCTATGCGACAATAATGAATAACTTTCATGTATATAAAGATTGGAAAACAACACTTTCAGCTTTAATTAAGAATAAGTTTTCGTTGAGTCACTAATCTGCATGCATCGACTTCTACCAGTTGGTTGTATAATATAGCCATTCTGTTGTCGTAAAACATTACTTGTAATTACTAATTATCAAAATGTCAAAATCAATTATTCAAATTTAATATAGAAGCATTAATAATATAAGTTTAAAATTACTTGTGTATCGAACGGGAAATATGTGATTTCAACTTCACATGTACTTTTAAACAGTGCTTGTGGAACCCATAACATTTCTCCGTTACTTGACACTACAACACGAGCATCTCTGTGTTCACGTAAGCGTTCATCAGCACTAGAATATGAAGTATTTTAAAATGTCATTAACTATAAGTAAACTGAGGTTAGCAATCAAATAATTATCATGGTTGTTGACAGAATAACATAATCAAGTTAAAATTCGTTAGTTTAACACGCACACTATTCAAACCTATTCGATTGGCTTCATCCCATACATTGTCTAAAGACTTATTTGACAGAGTTCAAAATAAAATGAGAAGTTAAAACTTGATCTGTTGCTTCAAATGCAAAACGAAACAATTTTCTAACCACCTGATCGTTTAATGAGAATTTATGCTATAAGTAGACTCATACAAGTCAACAAAAGATTTGTCAAATACATTTAAAGCATACAGATTCCAAAAATGAAGATTTCATCTTAAAAAAGTCGTTTATTACAAGTACCATTCCAAATATTATTGCAACTATTTTGAACATTTTTAATGACCTTTTTAATGAAAAAATCCTTTCTCGGGACAATCATTTAAAAATACACTTGCATGATCAGCCTCTATTAAAAAAGCAGGGTGAAATTTGTAAAATTAACTGAATCCAAGTAAATAAAAATGAACTGTGATACACAGTCAAAGTTTCTGACACACAAAGGATATAGATATATATTTTATTCTTAAAATAAAAAAACAACACTGATATGTAAACAGATGTGAAAAATAATAATTGGAACGTCTAAAGTTGCATTCTCACAAGAGACTTCTCCCTGAATATGTCACTTTAACAGAAAGAAAGGAATATTTTGAATATCTACCGACTAAACCATAACGAAACTGATATATAAATCAAAACTTTTAACATTTATAACTTGTTTTCTGTTACACAGCATTAATATCCTTATTTACAGCATTTTTCTTACCTAGCAGAATACACGAAAATCTACACAGTAGTGTCTTTCATGGAATCATCTTGATCTAGTTTGATTTTTATTGAACTAAATATTCTACCTTATTCTCTGATACGATTTATACCTGTTTTAATTTATTTTGGTTATTTATTTATTCCGAAGAAATGGACTACATTGAGTCATGAAACATGAGAAGTCCTAATTTCTATTCATTGGGCTATCACAAATATATCATTAAATTTAATATTTAGTTAGATCAGTAACTTAAATAGCAGGATCACAATAAACTAGCTCGCCTGTTGATACTAAATGAAACATTGAATAACGACTATCAAATACAATTTCAGAACATATAGTCACTCAACCAATGAACAATAGTCATGTATATGAGACTTCATCATAGTATTTCGAAATCGTTAAATTAAAATACAAGAGCAAACATAGTCAATAAATAACTTTACAAAATCATATTTAAACTAAATTTGTTTTAATTTAGAAATGAATTTTTATAGACTGTCTTTTTTTCTTAAAGATCATATGATAAGCATAAATAAGCTGAATATTTAAAATGTATGTCAGCAAGAATTTCGAGTTAAAATGACTTCCTTGGAAAATGAAATATTCATTGATTAGACAAGGTTACTCATCTTATAATGGAGTAAAATAAGCTCTATAAGTTGTTCCGAGAATATACTTGGTAATAACAATTAAATAATTTTAACTCATTGATTTTATATTCAATGTCTACTCTTCACCTACTATCATAATAAAAATAGAACCAATAAATATTCTTACAAATTATACAGTTTGATATCCGGCGTCCAAATCTGTGAAGGGAATATTCGAACTGTTTTGATATTTCCGTAATCACTTTCATTCCAACGAAGAAGAGAATCTGTCCATTTCTAAAAAAATTATTATTGTCATCTTAGTACTACTAATAAGTAATCTAATCATAAAAGTAAATTATTATTAAGTTGAATAAACAAAAAACTTATAATCCTTACAAGTGAATGTAAAATAAAGTTGGTAGATTAAGTTTTGTGCTTCTATTGTGATCTACCATACCTCACTAGCTGTCAGCTTACCAGAAGTAAAGTTTATTTGAAATAATACGAGTGACAACAATAATATCGTTCTAGAATGGGTTATCGCTTTCTATTTGAACTATGTGAAGTGCATAAAAATCATGTTAGTCAAAATAATCTGAAGCTGAATAAAGAATAGATGACGTTCCATACTATAACCTTGGAAAATGGCACTGCAAGTCAAATTCTATTTGCCATCTAAGTAACTTAAGAAGCACAAATCTGTTCATTCAAACGAGTCTCCTCAAGAAAACATCTCCATATTTTAGCTCAGAAGGATAAATTTTCAAGACTTCATGAGAATTTCGGGAGTTGAGATCTCAGCTCAATTTGTTAACTGGTATATTTTCTTTAAAAATTATGACATTCAAGCATGACTTTCAGATAACTGAGTACACTTTGGATGAACTCTCTAAACACTTAACACAGATTAAAGTCCATTCTTTAAGTACTATGCTTATGGATTGTGTGGCCTTACTGATAATATGTTCTATTTCTATGATGACTACTAGCATGATGACTTCGTCTTCGTTTATTATTAACTGAGTGCACCATATCAGTTGTTCAATTCAAAAGGAAAGACTGGACAGTACAGATAAATATATAACACATGATTCGGCTAGTATTTCTGGGAATTTATGAATATGACTTCAGTAACACAGTTATGAAAACTTTGTGGAAGATTGATTATATATTTAATGAAGAGCTAAAGGATTCAGACTTAGTGTAGGATGGATAGGTCACTAATTAGGTTACAATTGGTTTTTTGTGAGGAAACTAATAGAAAACATGATTTGGTTCAGATTTAATATGTATGAATTTTCTCAGTTCATTATCGACTAACACCCATGGACAAGGATTCCAATACAATTTATCTACATTCGTGAGAGAAATATTTCCGTTTCAAATGTTCACTACTATGAGTAGTATAAAAACGTTATGCATAATTTAAACAGGGATTTTTGTCTCACCGCTGTAAATCTAGAACAAAGCATAATTGGTTGCTAATTTATTATTAATACGTTTGGCTACTCACTACAGATGAGCTGAAGATATTTTGGTAAATATCGATAAGATATATATGTTATGAGTATTACATGACCTTTTTTATTGATCGAAAATTTCAAGTTTATTTATCCTCTAGCAGCAAAACATTTTCCGTTAAACTAATAAACTTTATATAATGAAGAATCCAAAGTTTTGTGTTAATTTCTAGCTTTTTGGCAGACCAGTCGAACTGGGGACAGACCTTAAAACATAAATCAAGTACCAGTTACATCATCGTCATAATGTCCTTATGCAACATTCGTTGGAAATAATGTTTTGTTAACTCATCATACCTTTCGCCTTATACAGACTACTATGCTTGTTGAACTTATTAAGTTATTGTTATAATATTTTATGTTATTTTGAACTTCAGAAATCCACAACAAACTAATTATATACCTCACTACCAACTGTTCATTAAGACAGTCCTGCAAATCTGGTAATTATTTCAAATTTAACTTACATACATCGACCAACAATTAGTTCGTAAAATTTGTTTATTTTCATCTAAATCCAAAATTTGGAAAAGTTGTAATCCATAACGAACATCAACTTTAATTTTGCTGTCATTTACTGGTCGTCCAATTACACCAAATTGTTCATATCGATTTAATAACATTCTGATAAGATTTTTTTCCACTGATTTTGTTTTCATCTCTGGTAAATAAATTAAGTGAAAATGTTTCCAAAATATCGAGAAAAATAAAATGAAGTTAACTGTAAATGTAGGCGAACATGTACTAATATTTGTTGAGAAGCGCTAGAAAAATGCAATTACCTGGTATAGGATATCAATTTGTGATTTAGATAGATTCCATTTACAATGTAAGTAGCTCATTAATTTATTGATTCGTCCAACAGGTTGCCTGTCAAGTCAGTCAGTCATCTACAACGTAGGACCAAGTACATATATACATCGGTCCAAGTTGCCATACCGCATTAACACAGAAAGATGAACAGCGGATTCATAGAAGTAGTAAATTCAATGGTGGATATATATAAAAGAAAGATTGCGTATAAGGATATAGGAAAGGTAGAAAGAATTAGTTGGTAGAAAGAAAAATATGAATTTAAATCTCATAGTTTAAGGAAAGACAGAGTGTATACACCCACGCTATTGTGATCGATTCTGAGCCATGTCACCAAGAGTCTCCAACCATTGGTTACGATAGTCACACTGAGCCTGACCAAGTTGTCTGCATCTACCAGCATGGCTCAGACCAGACGTTAGTGACTTTATGGACTGATGCCACATTTTGGTTTGGTCGCCCCTAAATTTCTTCCAACCATCCCCAACACTAGTCAGCCTTGCGCATCGTGGTAATCGATGTTCAGGCATACGTAACACGTGGCTCAACCATCTCAGTCGATGAAGATTCACAACCTCATCAACTGATTTACCATCATTCCCCAATACCCTGCGTCTAACCTCACTATTACTTACCCGGTCATCCTAGCAGATGAGAGTAATATTTGCCTGTTAAATTATTTCTCGGTCAGAAAACTTTCGAATAAGTTTAGAAATGTACCAAACCATCCTCAGATAGTAATGTAGTTTCACATTTGATCATTTTAAGCAATAGTGTAAACATCAAAATTTTATTGGAAAGCGTTAGTATTTTTAGTAAAAATCCTACCCTGAAAATATTGCATTTTTCTATCACCAATTCAGTCAGTTTCTAACATGGCTTAAAATTTCCTCTGCTTATAATATTTGATGATGACTGGGATTAATTCCTCAGATCAATAAGCAAAGCTGAACAAATGTCCATATCAATTAACTGAAAGAATAAGGAGCGGACAACAGTAGTTGTTTCAATGTCCTGTATTCTGCGGGACCTATCTTCGGTTTCATACTATCAAACAAAAAGTAGACTTTACGGATGGGGATCATGTCTTTAATTTCTGAAGCAAACTAATGTAAGCACATATTTCATGATTAATCTATTGAAAGTAAACGCTGTGTAGTTGACAATTGCAAAAAATTCTTAAAACGTATAAGACGGATATTTTGTGTAGAATTTAAATGAACCAGAAAGTGATTCAGTATTGCAAATTTTAAAAAAAATTAATTAACGAAGTACGAAGGACGAAACATATTATAATTTACATCTTAACGCCCTACTTTATTAGATAGCTTCTATGTGCAGCAAACTAAATTCTTCTCTCTCTTATAAACTTTTGCATTTATGTAGCTTCACGCAATTTCATTTACATCCACGCTATCCATTTGAAGTTTTGAATCATACAAATAATTGCCTTGATTTCACTGATCATTAATCACCTTAAATGACTAACCAGAATTCAAGTGATGTAAACAAATTTCTGGTTTCCAGATGAAAAAATTACCATGTCGATTTAGCTAATAAATATTCGCAACCAAGAATACATATCAATTAGTAGTATATTCCTAGAAATGGTTTTGCCTGGTATACTTGACATTGTTAATAATCAGAGTACAAAGTCTGATATTTAAATTACAAAATGAACCCTCAAAAAGGTTTGTAAGTAAAAACATCTGGAAGGATACAGAGTGTGTACAAGTTGTTTCTGTTAAAAGCGAACATGAACGTCATATATGTTAACACTAAGATCAATATACAGATTTGAGAAAACATAACTTGTTCGCTCTCTCGCCTAGTTTTTCTCCAAGATTTTATAAACTCAGTCAGTCAGTCAGCTACAACGTAGGACCAGGCACATATGTGCATCGGTCCAGGTTGCCATACCTCATTAGCACAGCAAGATGAACACCGGATTCATAGGAGTGGTTAGGTCAAAGGTTGCAATAAGGATATAGTATAGGAAGAAAGAATTAGTTCGTAGAAAGAAAGATATGAAGTGATTTTAATCTCTTAGTTTAAGGGAAGACAGGGAGTGTATACACCGACGCCATTGTGATCGATTCTGAGCCATGTCACCAAGAGTCTCCAACCATTGGTTACGAAAGTCACGCGGACCCCAACCAAGTAGTCTGCATCTACCAACATGGCTCAGACTAGAAGTTAGTGACTTCAGGCACTGATGCCACGTTTTGGTTTGGCCGCCCCTAACTTTCTTCCAACCATCCCCTACACCGGTTAGCATTGCACGTCGTGGTAATCGGTGTTCAGACATACGTAATACGTGGCCCAACCATCTCAGTCGATGAAGATTCATAACCTCATCAACTGATTTACCATCATTCCCTAATACCCTGCGTCTAACCTCACTATTACTTACCCGGTGATCCCAGCAGATGCCAGCAATATTTCTAAGGCATCTGTGGTCAAATACTAGTAGCTTACGGGTGTTTATAAACTCAAGGATTTATTTAATAATTAGTAAACAACATTACTCTATGGTTTTTAAATGGTAGATGGAAAATTATCAACAGCACAATTCTAAATCATCTCGTCGATTCTGATCACTAAGTTACACTAAAATTATCCATTCAAATGATCTACATGGCTCAAAAAGAGCTCGAAAAAGTATCCTGTGTATACTAGAAGTCTTAGTGATTCAACAGTTTCAGATCAAACATTTTCTGAAAAGCAACACTCTCATTCACTCATAGTCCTTACATCCTTCATAAATTCTATGATAATCAGTGCAGAAATAAACCATATTAACGACCTTGAAGATTTCAGATGACATCTTAACCGATCAGAAGGCCCTGTGCGTTTATTAAGCAATTTACAATAAGAAATTGAAAAAATTGCAAAGGATATGAAGTTTTGACATATATAATGAACCTTTTTCACGTGTTATTTCTTACGGAAGAAGAAAATGGGTTAGGCTTAAGAGCTCGAGATAAGAATCAGGGTTAGAAGTTGGGACTACGTTTTGAGGTTTAGAATTAGGGTTTGAAGTTGGTATTAGTTTTAAGAAATAGGAATTAAGATTAGGGCCTTCATAGTGAACTGATACCAGCTTTAATGGAAACGTTAGGGTTACAAGGCTTGGATACAAAGCGTTCTTACTATCTTATTATATAGGTGAATGAACTACGCCCAAATATCCGCAAGACACTAACTTAAATCTATTTAGTTCTTCGATTAGATGCAAAGCTTCTCCAAAAACTTTCAGGTAACATTAAAGAATTTAAAATCCCGTTAGCATGTTATCCATATTAGATCCATTCGTTTTTAACTGTTTCTTCTTAAAAATAATAATTTAGGATTGTAGTCTCAAGAGCTATTCAAATTTCTTCCTGGTTTTTAGTCTCATTACAACTAAAGTTTCAGCATATAAATAGGGAAATATCCATAAATTTTGTTAAGTTTTAGCTCTTGACAAGTTACAACTATCTGGTAATGCGTTTTGAACTATATGCTAAAAGCTAACAAGTGCCGCTTTCAATCTCATTGGTAGTCTCAAGATCGTCTACATAGTTTACTTCAGATTAGTCTGTTTTTACCACCCTCTTTAAATTTTCCAAATTTGTTTGTCAGTCGTTATAATCAACCCCCGTTTTCCAATACCACTTACATCCTTCGAATTTCTCAAATGGACAGTTATTTTTTAGAACTCTGATCCTTGAATCAACATAGTTTACCATTTTTCTTTGATCTTTAGGCCATTCCTATTATTATATCATTCAAACATATAAACATTGGTACAAGGGAGCACCAAACGCATATGCGTCACATAAAGCATTAGATTTGTGTGGGGGCTGGGATACTACCCGGGTGCACAAACTGAAACAGGTGGTTTCCTTGGGAAGTCACACTCTGAATCTTTGACCTCAAGGTCTAATCAACAAGGCAGTGCAGCAACGTCAGAAGATGCAGTCCCATGGTAGCCGGTGACCAACAATTGGCTCACACTCCATTTGTTCCCTTACGATATTGGAGCCCATGTGCAACATCGGTTCGGGATCAGGGTTTTCTAACTCCCCTAGGTGAACTCTTCGTATCCACCAACCCGGTCAAGGCGCTGGACATTCACTTTTCGTCCTCTCAATTTCGTAAACAACACCCTTGCCGCAAGAAGGCAGTGAGTAGGACTTCCCTGGCAGTGGCTGTATGCACGTGACTATGTGAGATTATTTCGAGAGAGAGAGCTGACTCTCCCCACTCTCAGTCGTACCAGGGCATTTTAGGGTAAAAATAAAATTTCTAAGCACTTTATGAAGATGACTTCTCTTTTTGGAAAAAGACTAATATATCTACCAAATAACTGTTAAAACAACTGTGCAGCCTTAATACAGGATGTCATCAGAATTCCTTTCATCTGGTTTTCCAGTTCTTTGTCTTCAGTATGGCATAGCTGTTTTTGACTTTTTCCTTAACATTATTTACTACCGATCAATTCATTTCCGCCTGAGAGTAAGGATACACTGATTGTGATAAACATTCACTTTCAAAAAGCAGTATATCCAAGCATATCACCTATCAAAGTACTATACAGTTTAATTCAAAGTTATCAGTTTTAAATTCACTTGAAATTGTTTACTTGCATCTTCCTACTGATGTTTACGACTGAAATTTATCAGTCTCTTATTAGCATATGTGCATAGTGTGCGTATTGCCTTGATATTGTCTCAGTTCACGAGCATTATAAGCAAAGATGTATCAGATTTATTCTAGAAAACAACCATAACGTTGTATTTTAGGTTTAAACAAACATTATGTATGGATTGCATCTGAAATTTTTGGAACTTTGTTAGTTATGTCGATTAATACTTTGACATCACGAGCTTCACGAACAAAAAAACTGTATTGATATATTCATTTAAAAGAAAAAAAAATGCTGTTAAATGCCCTCTGTTTGATCTATGCAGCACAATTATAAATTTGTGTAATCACTTACCTCTAGGATGACCTTTAGGTGCAATTCCTGAGACTTGTAGTACCTCATTTATGATACCAAACAGTAATATAAAACAGTATTTTAAATCCATTTCTCCAAAAGGTGAAGTTCTGCTTTACTAAATCTCCATTTTACCCAACTTATCCGAATGTAGAAATTCACCTAGCTTACTTTCATCTTCATTATCAAATCTGTTTCAACCAATCTGCTTATTCCTTCTGTTTAATATGTTATCTTTATTAAATACAAGTTGAATCGACCAAACAGCCTAATTTGTGATTGGTTAACTAAGTATGTCTAACTACCCATCATAATTACTTTTAAATAAAGGTTACAGATTCAGTTGGCCCATATATTATGAAGCTTGTTTATCAGTATGTAAACTATACAAGTTCCTTTCAGCCTCTGAGATCATTATGTGAGCATGAGATGTAGTTGCGCAATGAATGGGCGCAAGTAACTATTTGATCACAAAAACAATCCTACTTTACATGATCTTCCATTTAACAAACTTATCAGTTCACTCGTGATCTTAACATTTTACTCAAATGTATTTGAGTATAAGTAATTAAGTTTAATGAGTAAACTTATTTAGGTTGTTCACAAAAATTTAGCGTAAAAATAAATTAACAGTAAATTGATGAACAGGTAAAAATTTCAGAACTTCAATGTTTCTTCAAGAATGAGTTAAATTGCAGTAAACGTAGCAAAATAGGTTTACTTCATTCATCAAAAATTAAAATGTTATTCATTAACCTATAGGTTAGGATATTGGATTATCAATCATAAGCGTTGTGTTTGCGAGTTAACAGTACAAATTAGGTCTGACCAATGTTTTGTAGCGACTACTTTTGTCAGTTATAACGAACACAGTATGAATACTAGGTAACTTAATATCGTAACTTCAAGGGCACTTAACTCTATATATCAGAATTGCAGTGAGATTTAAAAAATTCTCCCAATGGACTCCAGGTCGACTTAGAAAGTGGTTCACATCATAATTTTAACTACAGAAGAATTAATGTAAAAAACCTACATATCAAAATTAACATTTTATTGTGTGACTTTGTGATTTCATTCCCTAAAATAATAAAACTCAACAATTCTAGGTATTCAACGGAACAATTTTTTGCTAAAATTATAAAAGTATTTGACAATTTTTCGAACTATTTTTCACACATAACTTCTAACATTTTAGTGGTATAGCAACACACCAACTTGATCATATATCACATTCATACATTTAGAAGATACTGCAAACAGTAAATGTCACAAAGTACGTAATTTTTCAGTTGTAGAAGAAGGTAAAGGGATCAGTTCAAATTTTATTATTGTTTGGTTGATAGTATTTGATATACAGACCAATTGTATTCTACACAAAGTAACAAACAAATGATAATGGATATAACAGAGCTGTGTTTTTAATATTTACAGAAAAAATATATAGGACGATAAAAGTAGAATAACTCTTACTTACTGACATTAAAAGTTGAACAAATGTTTACTTTGTATTTCAATGTAGTCTGTTTGTTGTTTAATGACGAAACTTAAGTAGGAATTCGTTATATATGTACGTGAAGTAAAACAGAATTCCATTACAAAATCATACAAAGTTCATTCCAAACCGAGTAATATATTGAAAGAAGTAATAAATGGATTTAAAGAAAATCTAAACAACGTTGAACTTAATATAGTTCTGTAGGTCTTAAGAATTTAAAAACATCATTAAGTTTCTAGTATGTCCGATAAAACCAATTATATAGTATTCTTAAACAGATTTCATGTCACAATACTGTTTATTGGTTGAGATTACGTTTATTTAATTTCTATTGCCTTATATACGATATTAACATTTACATTTTCTAAATTTAGCGTTGTTATCCTTTGTCCCTCACATTGCAGTCACGCTCACTACCAAGATCACTTTATCATGTTCAATTAATTCATCATAGAATCAAGCTTCATGGTTGGTTAAATCCTGGTTAAAAACGGTAAGTTTTCTCAGACTCAAACTTTACATTGAATCAAGTTATTCACTAGGATTAACAGATGATTTATTTAAATACAAAGAATTTCTAATATAACTCTGTGAAATTCCGGGTATAACTTAGAAGGGATTCAATGAATTTGTTAAAAATATCAAATCTATCTCTGTAACACAGTTTACTCAAGATAAAATATAAGTAGATAGAGAATTTTGCATTGACACCCAAATTTAGTCAAGTCTTGTTTACTGTACTTTCAGTGGAAATGGAACAGTTCAACTCTTCGTGTACAATCTTCGCACAACGAATAGTCACATAGCGCCTTTCTGAAATATGAACTCATACATTAGATACATAATTTGTTTATCTTTCCTCACTTATCATTTGCGTACCCATCATTCTTTCTATCCGGTTGTTAGTTTGATTACTATTTGCTTTCCTTCTTCCAATTCCTGCTACATACTACTTATATCTGTTCGTATGATTAGCGCACACCACGCCCTACCTTTTTTAGATAGCAGCTCAATGCATTCAATCGACATCTTTATTTATCTGTCTTACATTCATCTGATCACATCTGTTGCTGAACAGAAAATAATGAAAGCCATTACGTATTTTAACATTTATTTATTTCCGTGTTAATTTTGATGCACATTTACAAAATGTTCAGTTATCAGCACACATTAGAAAAAAAATCTATTCACTAATGCGTTTGTCAACGTTTTAGAGTCTCCATATTGTAAGGAAATTACACCATTCATAATTATTCGATTCAACTTAATTAACTTATGTTATTAAATAGTTTTGGGATGATCAAGATAAAGTGGATTGATGAAGAAAGTTTCGGCAATAAAAAATAATGGAAGTTCGAGAAAATGATAAAGTATTCCAAAAAGATACTTTAAATTCCAAAATATGACTAAAAGAATAAGTTAGCAGTCTTCAACTATTGCGATATCTGACAAGTAATTTACTGACTCTACAGCAGGAATCCATGGTTGTGTAAAAAATAGCTAGTGTATAATTAAAACATACTTTTAAAACAAAACTGGTGTTGTAGTGAATGAAAACTCATATGTGGACAATTAATTTGTTGTTTTATGTATTGATCACATGGTTGCTTAGCAAAATATGGAAATCAAACAGTAAATATATCATTTGCGCATCTTCTTTGCATTGTTCATTATCTACTTCCTTTAATCCTGTCGTTATTTTGATTACTCTCCGATTTTGTTTCTGTTATATTCAATTTAGTCTTCTGGTTCCAGGCACTCCAATTTCGATTGTAGCTACATACTACTTATATTTGTCAGCGGAAGTGACATACAGTAAATTACTAGTTCTTTACAGTGATATTTCAATGTAGCAAATAAACAAAGTTTATTGGACTTTTAATCATTTCTTATAAACTGAAATAACTAACAACAAGCAAAGTTAAAAACATTAAAAAATACAAGACCGATTTGTGATCACAATGGCATCTGAAAATACAGAAATATTCATTTAGTATAGGTGGAAAAAAGAAAAAAAGATTGTATGTAAGTTATCGTATGTACAAACCGAAAATCAAATTAATTGGTGAAAGTAGAAAGAGCATATTCTTTGCTTGTTTAATTTTCACGTATCATCGTTTTACTAAGGATGAGAATTATAAACTCAATATTTCGTTTTTTTTCTATTACCCTTTCAAAATTCCTTGTGTTTTGGTTTAAAAAACAAACAAGAAATTAAAATCTTTTAATTGCTAATTGAAAGTTATATGATTAATTATGAGGATAAATAGAGATTTGGGTTACTTAGTATGTTGAACGTGGAAAAGTGGTTTGGTGGTGAAGGCTTTTAACTTCATTCAACAAGTCACAGGTTTGAACCCCGTCACACCTATTGTTGTCTGAGAAAGCTGAATAGTAGGATTATGACCCCACACTTACAACATGACTCGTAGCTAAGCTCTCGGATCCATGCCTAGTAAGTGAGTTAATAAATATGTGAAAAATATCTATTATTTTATAATAATAATAATAACAATAATTTTATTATAATAATCCAAAACTCATACATATCAATGAACACCGTTTAATTTATCAGTATACATACTATGATACGCTCATTGATGATTAGCTTCGAAAGGTAATTGTCGGAGTTCTAGTGAAAAGCTGTGACCAGCTGAGCTAATCCGTGTCGCATGTAAGGTAGTTACCCAGAAGAAGATGTTTGTGCAATGTCTTGGATTGATAGAAGTGAGATATTAACACTATTGGATGCCGACTAAATGGTCTAGAGGTTGAACATTTACACGTGAAGTCGAAGTCCTGTGTTTGAATCTCGCGTACAAGGACGTGGATGCGGACTATTGAGGAGTCAAATGCTAGGACAAAACGCCCGTCTAGTGCTCCAAGAAAGCTTGCTTCATGGTTTTAATGAAATACATACTAAATTCCAATTTATTTTCCTCATTCATTGGCTTGAAATTTTTCATAATAGAAAGCTTCAATGAAAATACTTGGATTCAGTTTGTCTTAACCCAACTGGAAATATTTTTTAAATATGTATGAACGTACATTTACATACATATAACCACACAAGAGGAAACTCATCGATCTTTCTCACTTTCTAAGTTATAAGCTATCTGAAAAGTTGAAGCAAATAACATAACTTATAGAAGGTTGATTAAAACAGAATAAAATTATAAATTCAAAGAGATGGAGAGGAAAAAAAGAAGAAAAATGGGAAATTTCGATCAGATTTATATTAGAATTGACCTAGTTTTCATTAGCTTTATTCTGTTTATTATTTTTGTTTTCTTTTCATCTCCTTTTACAAATTAGTACAAGGGAAATTTTCTAGGAATAAAAAAGAAATAATCAATTATTCCTTTATTGCTTTAGTATGCTGAATAAAATTAAATGGAAGTATGTAAAATAATGGTGTGAGACTGAATTGTATCTTAATACTCCTCAGTAGTGGTTAATATACATCATAAAACTACAATAATAATAATAGTATAATAAGGTATCGAATCAAATCTAAAGGCTTGAAATACTCATAAAATGCATGTTCTTTAATAAATTAGTTTTAATTTGTCACGAAATCTTGGAGACAGAAAGTCTTAGTTAACGATATCTAACTGAATATCTCGAAATCTAATGCAGTTACAGCTTACTTTTTCAGAGTAAGATAGTTATGATCATGTACTGTTGATGCATTATTTATTAAGACTTTTCTAAGCTTGTCAGTTTTAATGATTTTTCTCACTGATGTTGAACTATGATAAGAACTTTCTGAATAATGATGAATCCGCTGGATTTGTTCTGTTTCTATGATACATAATAATGCATTTAGATCTATTAACAGTTGGTAAATGTAGAAAGTAAGATATTCATATTGCAGAAATATTTCATCCAAACCCATGCATGAAATTTTTATGATTGTTTATGATTATTTCAGACACGATATACAAAGATCCCACAATTTGTCAAACTTACACAAAATATTAACCATTATCAGTAAAAGGTGGATAACACACAAAATATGAAAATTACTGTTGCTATGACTTACAAATGATTGATTGAATTGTTGTAATGACTGAGGTGACCAAACCAGCAAAATGTTTATCGAACTAAGTCCGAAACTCCAACAGAACACATTTCACATGACATAATTGCTTAACTAGAGCTTACACTCTAACAACAATACGCGACTAAATATATAATCTGGTTTATAATAGCTCGTAACTAAGCTATTGATTATTGAATATATGAGGGGATTGAAGCTTTTATTTATAGAACTATGTCATCAGAGTAGACTAATTCTGAGCTACTTGCCAGAAAATGAATGATTAATCAGAAGCAGAAACGAATATCACGAAATAACTATTGAAACTTCTCTTCTTCTTGTTATCTAATCTATCATGTGAAATTATAAATGACCTTCAGAGAATTAGAGTTGTAAATCTGTAAAATTTTGGAAATCTCTGGATTTCTTGTTTCAGTTCATATCATTAGTTTTCTGTGACTCAGTGTTCTTTGATTGTCGTACAGGCTACAGTAAAATAGGCATCACACTGGATAATCTTTTCCTGTACTATTAACTTCAAATATGTAGAATAATTGGAAACACGATGACATGAGACTTTTCTTTATAATTGGTTGCAAGATAAAATTCTATCTCTTCAAAAAAATCCAGAGATATAATAAAAGAATCTGAATCTAAATTTGGTTGTTTGTTCTGATTATCAGAAATCAGTTCTTGAAATGAATATGATTCTTAATTGTTTTAGCTTTGTCAACAACTAATTTTTAAAATCGTCAAAAGAATATTTTCCTCACGTTCACCTTCAAACTCACTAGTTTCATTTACTAGAAAGACAACAGAAAGCGAATAAAGTGTAAGGTTCTTTCAGTTTATTAGATTTTTCCTACATCGATCAGTTATTTTTATCACAAACCTAATGGACCTTTTAGTTTTGACTCGAAAGGATTTATAAATAACCAGATAATACTGTCACTCGAAAATTAAACTGACAAGTCCTGTTCACAATTTGTAAAGTAACTGAAACTGTTTAAAGTGTGATGTAATTTATAAGACCCTATGGGCAACTATATTGGGAACACAGCGTATATTTCAGCTGATTATTGCCACTGTCAATTTTGTGATGGTGTAGTGGCATTGTTTCCTAGCCATACGACTTTTGAACCAAGCATGTAATTACTTAAACGACTTATATTCAGCAATTGACACGAAGAGAAAGTTAACTATGGAGAACGCGGGAATTAATTCAATTCAATTGGATGACATGGCTCAGCCTTACGAGCGTGGTCATTCTTATGTAACTTATCACTTTTATACATATTATATATGTTGTTCTATCTTCAACTTAAATGTGTTCTCCATAATATATTGGTAATTGTTACGATACGGTGAGTCAGTGTAGACAATGATGTGACTTCCACGTAAGATCTTATAGATTAGGCAGCTACATCATGACAAATCTGCAATTCAAGGATTAGGTCTATTATTAGAGCAGTAAAGTGGGACATGAATTGGTAACAGTATTGAAATGACTGAAGTGCTGATTCGACCACGAAATCTAGTTACAATTCCCAACTGAACAAATTTCATAAGTAGTGACCACCATTCAGGTCGCCATATAAATTAACAATATGGATTTTACGTGAAGCGTTTAGCTAAAACGATGTGTTGAAATCATTTAGTAGGTAAAATCTGAATATTCTAGGTTGAGGATGAAGGTTACAGAACAATAGACGAAACTCCTGTTTTTCCAGTCGTATTAAATTTGTGATCATTAGACAATCCATTTTTAACGTGTTTATTGATCATCTGATTACACTGAGACATAAAACAGAGGTACATAAACATTTTTCAAAGACTCGCATGAGCCTAGGTGCTATGTCAATGTAGCAGGACATACACAGTTATAGATTGCTTTAACTAAGATAGAAATATATATCATGTATTACTGAACCTGACAGTTACTTATGCGATCATCACTGTTAAGTGATGCGCTGTCAGTACAACGAGTGCGACTGTGAACAATTTTTGATTGGTGTACCATAGTCAGGGGTAATTTTCATATTCTAACCCTCAATAATGACGTAAAATTCGCCTCTGTTAGTTGGTGTCAGAATTTTGGCTTACTAGAATTCGGATATGAGAGAGCTTGTTCACAATTGTAAGTTGACACGAAATATCAAACATTTAACTCCAAAATAATTATTTTATGACTACTTATCCAAATGAAAACTTCATAAAAGGTTAAATTTTGTGAGCAGTCATAACCTTGAATTCTAATCTGTTACAACAATAAAACTAAACCAACAGTTATGAGTGTTTGATTATTATAGCTTATGGCATTATAGCATGTACATGAATAATATTTATAACAAATCTTCCAGGATTACCTTAAATACTGATGAACGTTTTCGAAGCTTAACCCCTTTATTATTCTACTGATTTATAGCATTTTTCTAAATGTGAAAAACGCTTAATTACTTTGTTTCTGAGTTAGTTCGGAAAGAAAACAACTTTATAATTAAACTAATATTCACAAATTAATGATCATGTCATACTTGCTGATGACCATGTGTGAGATAGATTTCTGAATTTTAATTGAGAAATGAACAGTGATCGTCCAAATCAAGAATGAGACATTTATTACAAATGACAAGAAGTGATTGTAATACTATATTATCAATTAGTTCATGTCGGGAATGGGGATCACTGAACTTTAACTTAGTGATTCCAAGTTAGCACGTCCATTTTGATAGCTAAAGATATTAGGCTTGATCCTGTAACAGGAATCTTAATAAATGACGAAGCAGTGGTCCATTCATATCTTATTATCAGTAATATCCTGATGTATGTCAGTTTGTGAAGAAACTTATTTTCAAATTGAAGTAGTATCTGTAAATCACTTAAATAAGAAATTAAAGTTTAGTTTTAGACTTGTCATTTTCATCCTTTTGTTAGTATATTAGAGTAGCGAAGAATTATGTCTAATTATACTTGAGGCTCTCTAATCTATTAAAGTCCAAGAATACGTTGAAATCAGTACAAATAATTTCGAAACAAGCTATCCTTCCTATATTGTCTTAAGTTCAACAAAACTATGATTATCATGAAGGCAGTATAGCTTTCAGACTCATAAAACACTAATTGAATCGATTGAAACTGAAAATCTTGCCGAACCAGCCACCTATGGGCAACACAGAGTACTACTCAGAGGTTTTGTGATCAATCCTAAGGTAGGTCGCTGTTCCACTTTGTTCCTGAGCAGCTAAATAAATAAAAATAGCTATTCAGTGCACCTTGATTTCTACAGACTCCAGTTATAATTAACTACATGATGTTAACCAATTTCAAACTGAACAATTCCTATGAAAATTTCACCTTAGTACTAATTCAAGAGTTCAGTGGTTTACTAGGTCAGTATTAGCATCATAAGAATCAAATTGATATCATAAAAAATCATAAGGATCCATCAATGTTTCACAAAAGACGATGATAATCATCTTAACTATGTGTTTAAACAAAATTAGATTCCTTAATTTTGTCAAATTTAAACAACTATTTATCTAAAAAAGAATCAACTTTAAGATCTGTAAACCCATTTATTTATATTTAAAAATTCATCAGAATACAGTCAAAAAAGGTGAGTGAATATTCTTCAGTGTTATCCACTGAAACAATTACATATATTTCAGATAGTGAATGTTTCCAGAATACGGCATTACAAATTAATGCGTATTTTATTATGTATATAATACAGTATGTATTTTACATATATGAATATGTTAATACAAATTGATTCTTATTAACAATGATCACAGTTGACTTAGGTAACTTCAGAAATATTTGTATGTATTTGATTCAATGATAATAGGTTTGTAAATATATTAAGGATAAAAACATTTAGCACTAACTTAATCATAGACTATTACTAGATCTAATCATTGTAAGGAAGTGTATACATTCAAGAGTAAATATTTTACAAAATGTCACTAATGTTTGATTAGTTTATGTAAATGATTACAATGTATTATGAATGATAAAAATCAGTAAGTAACATATCAATAAATAACAATATGAAGAAAAACAAAACTATTTTGTTCATAATATACGTGAATAAAATGCAGATTAAATGGAATAAATATCAAACCGAAAACAGTAATAATAATAATAATAAGTGTACATTATTGTAGATCAACTACATTACGATTTATTAATTGTAATGTTGTATCAGGCAAATCAGTTTTTAAAATAACAATACCAGCAATAGTAATTAATGTAAATAAATAAATAATAAAAAATAAACGATCAATAATTAATGCCAATATACGCCATTCAGTACCTAATGAATTTTTATGTGAAGATTTAATTTGTTTTATATTTATATGTTGTAGAAATTCTTTTATATTATATGAATATTGTTTCAATTCATTATGTTTCATTTCATTTATATGATTAGAAACTATTTCATTATTTAAATGAATATTGTGTTTTAATTGTTTTTTATTAGAAAAATTATTAATTTGATTATTATCATCATCATTTATCATTGAATAATTATCATGATAATTCATTTGTATTGAATTAGTTTCATTTATTGAAATGTTTAAAGAAGATATTTTTGGATCTAAACGTTGTGATTTATCAATTAATGGAATTATTTGCCGAATTCCTAACATACGACCTAATCCATCAATGATAAACTGTAAAAAAAATATTAAAGAATTTTTCTTAGAAAACAAAATAAGGCAATAAGAAATATCATAGAAATGAAATTAACTTTCAATGATATCTTTGAGAATTACTTACTTACTTCTGATGGTGCCAATGGAGCATAGGTCGCCGACCAGCATTCTCCAACACACTCTGTCCTAGGCCTTCCTTTCCAGTTCTATCCAATTCTTGTTCATTTTTCTCATGTCTATCTCCATTTCTCGGTGTAATATGTTCTTTGGTCTTCCTCTTTTCCTTCGGCTTTCAGGATTCCATGTGAGGGCTTGAATTGTGACACAGTTGGGTGCTTTCCTCAATGTGTGTCCTATCCACTTCCAGCACTTCTTCCTGATTTCTTCCTACTCCGGGATCTGCTTTGTTCTCTCCCACAGTACGTTGTTGCTAATAGTGTCTGGCCAACGGACCTGAAGTATTTTGCGTAGACAACTGTTAATAAATACCTGTATCTTTTTGATGATGGCTTTCGTAGTTCTCCAGATTTCCGCCCCAGTAGACAGTAGAACTGTTTTGATATTTGTATTGAAAATTCTGACTTTGGTGTTGGTTGACAGTTGTTTTGAGTCCCAGATGTTTCTAAGTTGTAGATATGCTGCTCTTGCTTTTCCGATCCGTGCCTTCACATCTGCATCATATCCTCCGTGTTCATCAATGATGCTGCCCAGACATGTAAAGATTTTTACATCTTCCAAATCTTCTCCGTCAAGTGCGAATGGATTGTTTTATGCTGTGTTGTATCGGAGAATCTTGCTTTTCCCTTTGTGTATGTTGAGAATACTCTTTGAAATATTTGAACTGAAGATAATGCAGTTGATTACATAACTATGTTCTGTTATCAAATGTTAAGATGTTATTCATTTTACTAAATATTAATAAGTAATATAACTATGTTTTAATAATTTTGTGTTTAGAGACATAAAATACCCAAGTTAATTTTGGGGAAACATTACTAGTAAATTTGTACGGCATTACATATCAACTCAAATCAGAATGATTTCATGTTTGAAGATATTTGTAGTGTATATTACGATATTCATTAGTTCAAAGAAGTACTAGATAACAGTAGGTTTACTTATATTTTAAATATCTGAAAATAAACTGTAAGAAACCCTGGATATCTCCCTAAAAGGTATATCTGGAACCTCAGAGGAAGTGACGTAGTCTCTTAAATTTAGAATGATCAAAGTGGATGATGATATTTCTGACATTCTGATGCCTGTCCAAATTTATATAATTCATTATCTCTGTTCAGTTGTTTTTGATTGATTTATTTATTCTATTTCGATATCAAGTAACCGTTCGACTTACAGATAACATTATTATTCAGTTTACGATTTAAATTTATCATATTTCGACACTTATGAAGATATATACATAATGGGATAGGATGTTGAGACTTTTCTTCAAGCTTACGTAAAACATCGAACAAATGCTGTCGAAAGTGTTTACAATCATCAAAAATTTCCGTTACAGTGTAAAGAGATGTCGTAGAATATAGTATCAGTTTATATTTCAGGAGAATAAGAATCTTAGCTTGAAAATTACAATCACAGATGTCTCAGAACCTAACCTTCAGCTCCTGTTGTTATTTCTGCTTTGAAACATAATACAACTATAGGAAGTTAATTAAGACAATGGTAATTTATATAAACAATCCGCAGGAAAGTGTACGAAGGTTACCTAATGTTGCCAAATATAAATATATTCATCCGATTGTATGATCAACATGAATTTTAAACCACCTTTTTAATACTGTAGGATAACATTAAATCTAAATGTAATCTATGAAGAGTCAATACTCTTTAGTTTCTTAGGTTTCAGTGGTTATTTAACTAAAACTAGTTCCTTATGTAACCTATGTGATACATAATGTATGATTGTGGTTTAGATTGAGTACTTCTCAGTATGAAGTGATGTGAATTGTGACTAAGTAATGTTTAACCACGAAAGCGAGAATTATTAACACAAAAGTCTTCAAACGAATAGATATAAAAATACGAAACACTTTTTTAGCAAACGACTTAATTCTAAATTATAAACTAGCAAATTTATACTAATTTTATTAGAAAACAGTGTTTTGAGTGGAAGCTGAATACAGTATCTCTTATTAGTAACCAATAACTGCTTTAATTTACTGAACACACAACAATTTGGCTCTTTGGATAGCTATGGGCTCTTTTCCTTATTGTAACATCTGAATAGTTAATTAAATTACAAATTAAATTAAATAAAAAATTTTCGTACGAATGTTATATATGTAGTTTATGATGCTTTGTACTCAATGTTGACAACTGAAGTTTTCAAGATTTGATTACAACGGTTAGTATAAATTGTACAAATTAAAATATTTAGAGATAAAATCTAGGTTGTAGTGTCGCCTGGAATGTGTTTCTTCCTGATATAGAATTCATTGAAAAACCTATTCAATTTCAATTCCATAACAGATTTCACTTTTGTCAAGCAAGTTGTTTATAGTCTTTTGATTAAACTTTAATTACATTACGTAAAAAATGTTGATTGAAATTTGCTGTATTCAATTGTTTAAAGCAAGTGACTTACTCGACGAATCCAAAATGGAACTGCTTGACCTTCATTTCCTTTATAAAATAAATTTACTACCCAAGTAGCCATAAATATTGACAATGTGACCATGACCATATTTAAGCAAAAGAAAATACCTATTCAAGAAAAGGGATCGAAATAAGCAACGAAAACAAGACAGATAATGTATCAAGAAAAAGATATGACGATCAAACAATATTTTCCTGTGATCTCAATAAGCAAACAATCATAATAAACGTTAATCCGTTAGTTGCTAGAAATGGACCCTTAAAAGCGACCCTTAAAATATCGCTTGTAGCTAACATGATATGAAAACGGCCAACACTAGTGATAAAAGCCCAAAATTTTACGGTTATGTTGTTTATTTTATTCTCTGTCCTCTTGAAGAAAGATCAGCTTTCGATAGGGCTGTAGTCTCAAACCCTGTTTTAGACAGAAGTGAGCATTTTAGGATTATTTCACAAGTTACAAACTGCAATTACCTAAGTGTCTCTTGATTAGGGGTAATCTATTAGAAGTTTTTAACTTACATTTTCCCTCGTTCTTGGGTCACAACAATTACAAAACCTAGGTTTAAAACATCACGCTAAATCTATTCAACCTTTTATGGCCCGTTGATCCGACTCTGATTTGAATGAACAAATGAATATGGAATGAATATAAATTTTCCATTTAACTCCGTATATTACACTTGGGTTAACCACATTTGTGCGACGGCGGCAGTAAGCAGTCAAATACGTGTTGAGTTGAATTAATTTGTTTCATGTACCCATTTATTTAGACAGATATTAAGAATGGAAAGTGGGGAAGTGAATCGAAGTGGAGAAGGAAAGTGTGCCAACACCGTTTGACTCAATATTTGTATCCAGAAGGAAATAAGCTAAAAAGGTGATGAATAGGGTAAGTGATGGAAGAATACACTCACTTAAAAAAAACCAAGATTATAAGCGAATAATTGACAAGGTAAAGATGTTACTCAAGATAAATAAATGAATCGGTCTGTACTAAAATCAAAATTACCCATATGGGCTTGATATAGTGATGGTTATTGCGATTCACTCAACAAAACAACACAAAGCTGATTCCTTTATGAACTTGTTTGTTTTGCTGACGCTACTGACTGGATAAGGTGAGTTGGGATTGATGACAATGCACAAGGATATTAGTTACTGGTTATCAGAAGTTGCCTTACGTACAGTAAATAGTTTTTTATCATGGAATTCCATATAATGCTTAAGTTCTAACAACCAAGATGACTACATGAAACACTGTCTAATATAGTCACACTGAGCAAACATGCATTGTTTTCCTCCACACCTGGGATTTATGTTTACATTAAGCACTTCAAGAATTAATTGTTTTTCTGGACAATATTAATAGCAAAATTAAACTTAAAATCAGTATTTTTTTTCTTGGTTTCTTAAAACCATTTAAAAACAAAAAATCAAAAGAATGACAATGAATATAATTTTGTTAAACAATAAACGTTCATGGCTTGATTTTGAGTGCAGTCGGCTAATATTTAATAAGCCTTTAATAAAAAATAGTTTAATACCAAAATGCCATTAGCCTATTTTTAATAATTGAAATCACTTCTTATCAAAAATAAAACATAAATCCGACAACTTTTATTGAGTATCTTCTGAAACTTCATACAAGATAAATGCTTATCGTAAAATATAATATAAGAAATTTTACACAACATAGGAACTAATTTGAGCATTATCCACACAATTTTAAGGAATAATTAGTATGTTGGAGTTTGAGGTATAAATTGACTTATCATACTGAATTTGGTAGGGTTGACAGTACATGTAACCATTAAACAATTACAACTGTGTAATATTATATTATTGTTCAGCTATTAACCTTCATTGTTTCATTTAGTCATTAGTGATATTTTTTATGTAACCGTTTAAATATATTACTATAGAGTAGTATCTTTGATTCATATTAAAGTTTTTATTCATATTTTTAATTTTTTGAGTTCTATTGTATTCATTGAAATTAATAGTTCTATCGAAAGTATAAGTAAGATCAATGATTTATGGAAATAAATGTGTTGAAATTAATATTATCAGTAATATAAATGCCTTTATACTTTTAGTGCTATTTTTATAGATGGGATATTTTTTCCCTCTGTATCTCGAGTAAACACAAAGCTGTTTAAAAGGCAGACCAATAAATTTTGAATATTTTCAATTTATTGACTCCTATTTAAAATTCCCTACTCTTATTTAATTCTTAATTTAACTAAATAAACTAACTGATGTTGTTTTTTCCACTTAAAATTAAGAACTTATCCCATCTAGACTACTGTTGACAACCTGGGAACGCTGAGCAGCTTATTTGTCCTAGTTCGAGACTCCTTAACAGTACACATCCACAACAACGCATCTAGGAATCGAACCCCGAGTCTTAGGTCTTGCGTATGAACGCTGAACCTCTAGACCACTGACCCGGCATCCAACGGTGTTTAGTTCTAAATTCGATCAATTCTTGAACTTGCACAACCCAAATCCATTGATTCCGACGGATAACTGTATCACACTTGAAAGCGAATCTCGGATGCGGGGTCATGGATGCGTACTGTTTTGTAGTCCTGAACTAGGACGAAACGGATTCCCATTGTTTCAAGTTTTCAATCGTGGTTTAGCTAAGATTAGTTTGCGATTTAAAATTTAAAAATTTCTAGTCTCCATAAATCAACTGATTATTAGTGAACAATAACATAATTCATAGTATCTCAATAGATCACTGACTGGTTACACTTAGTGAACTACAGGACGGCTTGATCATCAATGTTTAGTTTTAAACACTTATTCATAAACTTTAGTTTTCACACCTTGGCAGTATTACTGACCATCTTTTACATTAAAAACTATGGCTTAATGTTGATCACACGAATGCATATTTTGATTATCAGATCTGATTATCGTAACTACGCAATCTTTAATGAAAATTTCATAGTGGTCTATTAGTGTTGAAATATTATTAGATATCTTACAATCATGCAGTTTTTGAACGACTTGAATTATTTAATTCCATAATATATGAATAGCTCAAGTAAATACTGAAACTGAAATTCGTATAAACTGATACAGTGAATCAATACCGATATTTTTATGCATATTCATTAAAACAAACATACCTATTATAGGGAAATTTTTGATTGCACTAGGCATTGATTTTGCCAATAGTAATAGTAATACGAAAAATCCCACGAAGATGTTTATGCCTAAGATAATTAGAACGAATGAAATTTACACGGGATCAGGAGATATATTTATACTGTTTGTTCATATGAAAGCAGAATATATATACATATATTCCTAAACTATAGTCTAGTAGTTTACTGACTATCATAAGACCACTCAATATACTATGATTTTTTCGATTTAAACTGTACAGTGATAAATAATCTCCGTTTTCCTACATATTAAATTCATTGCCCTTTATTTCATGCCATTTGTTTAACCTTGATTTTATTTAGAAATGCAACATCTAGTAACTATGAGAGAAAACAAAGAAAAACGAGGAACCAACTGGTGCCAGTTATTCTGTTGCTTTTAGTATCTTTACAAATAAGCACTTAGAAGATTTATATGATAAAATACAACAGACTTCAGGTTGAGCTTTAGAATGCAGCACATGATATAGAGTCCGACTGACTTGTATTCATCTCAAAATAAAAAAATTCAGGCATATTTTAGCGATTCTAATGATAAAATTCTGATAGAATTAACATTTAAATTTGTTCATTGATTAAATCACGTATTGATTTTGGTTAAATAACTACTGAAAACCAAGAAGCTTATACAGTACCTACCGTACTAATTAAATTTGTGGCTGAAAAAATCTGTCTAATCTATTACCAGTAATCTATCCGTGTCAACTTACCTAGCATCATTTTCGCGGCTGAGTCCGGTGGTAACCAAAAGACCACCAAACTTAGCAGTGATAATAACAAACATGGAACAATTAAAATAAATAAGTGAAAACTTGGATTACGATAAATACGTATTAAATAACGTAGAACTGGATAATATCTTTCATGTTTCGTTGATCCAATCAAATGTTCTCTAACTCGATATCGTTTTACAGACCTCAACTGGAGACAAGGAAACAAAAATAAAAATAAAAAACATAATTGTCCAACTGATTTAAATTAAGAGACATACAAAACATGAGGATTATGACATAAATAATCTTAAAGTAAATGATTAAGAATTTCGGTTACTTTTTAAAGAGACTTTAATTATTGTGTGAATTACCAATCTGAATACTTGTTATTATGAATTGACCACAAAACACACCTGTTTGTAATAATATGAAATAGTGATCTTTGAGGAAGTCTATTTCCTTCAAGAATAACAAACTTATAGGTTTATAAAATGGTTCATGATATATGAAATTAAATCGACTAATGCAGAGATGAAAAAAAATTAACAAAACATCAGATTGTTCAAAAACTATTCGTACAGTAGTAATGGATATATACGTATAGGTAATCTCAAAACAAACCTTTATGCAGTGGTAAATGATTGTAAAAGAGGAAGTTGAAAGAACCAGTTTTAAAAATTCTTATTCATTAATGACATTAATTTGAATGTTTGGGGTAAAATTAGTACCTATTTTCTTCTGCTATTTACTATTAATCAGTTAAAATAACTTGGGTATAGTGCTTTGAGTAAATAGCTTTATATTCTTACACATCTTTAACAGTGTCTGTACTTCAATTAATTCATAAACATTATTGCCTAATGAATGTAAAAATCTATTATTATTGAACTGGTTAACTTATATGATATAAAGTCTGCATACTTGTTTCTGCACTTGGGTTGACATGAAAATCTTACATGAACATGTTTTTAGCGATCATATTAGTATGGCCAACATCAAGATCTCCCCAACCAAAGTAAATTCATGCCATATAAAAGAAAATAGTACGAAGAGGTATAATTACATATTATGTTACTTTATTGAAACTTGGTAACGTTGAAATGTCATCGTATTTTACTCTAGAAAACTTCAACAGGAAGCCAATCAAAACAGCGAGAAAACTTGTTGATATCTAAAGTCTCGTACCAATATGTTTTGATATTGTTTTTGATTATTATATTTTACTTTTCTAACTGTATTCATCTATTACTACTGTATAACAATTCTTTTGTAATTATGATACAATCGCTATTATGACATTTACACTTTTTACTTCTCTTCTATATCTATCGAATGGACAATTAGTTCTCATATTTATTACCCATAAATTACTCTCATCTTACTTTTATTTAAACTCTGGATCATTACTTAATTTCCTTTTGATATTTTAAATCTCCAAACACCATAGTGTAATCTTTCTCTAATCTTTTATAGACTCATTTATTTGTTAAACGATTCTACAGCTTTAGTAAATGATTTCATTGAGAAAATCCTCTTTGCTGAACTGCCTTCACATGTAGAATAATTTTCTCATTAATATATCTTTTAATTTACCTGATGTACTCGATCTTCATGTCTAATATGTCGTTCTGCTTCTCCATCTGTAAACCAATCATTCGCAGGTACATAATCTGAGAAATCAACATATGGCATCGGCGTATCACTGCCATCCGGTATCCACCAGTCCAAATCTAATTGGGTTTTGTCATATGCCATTGAACCAAACTCTAACATACAAACCTGTAAATAAAATCCGAACAATTGGTTTTAGAATTCTTATTATGATCTTGTAAAAATTTACCCTCTACTTTAAATATCTTAAAATAATTATTTGAAGCTATTCATATTTTGTTATATGTATGCTGAAGTACTAAAAAAAGTATTGTGTTTCTCCAAAAATTCTATTCCGGTTTGGGAGAAAGAGGTGGTCTCAAAGAAACTGTGTAAACTAAGATTAGTTTGTATCGTGCAGATTATTGAATTCTATCTCAAAAATTTAGTAGCATCAACCTCAGTGCTAAAACTAAAGGTCATTGTTCCCATCCCATGTGAGGTAATAGGTCCTGATTTTTGACAAACCCAGAAACTCAGGTTAGATGTCTATCCAGTTCTCATTAAATTTTGGTAGGTCGCAAGCTCGTGTCACTCTGTCATGAAGCACATTTAAAAGTAAATGTTTTTGTTAAAACGTTGCTTTACAGATCAAATAAAAAGCATTAGGACTAAAATACTTAAATTGTAGTTTACAGTTTGATAACTGTCTATGAGACTGAATCTACTGATTGGCGACACTAACTGACAGTCACAAAGATTAAATAACTGACCATTCAAACACGACGGAACATTTTGTGTACTAAAGTGTAAGACATAATAAACATGAATAGAAATAATGTAACCTGTAGTCCATTTGCTTTCTCTAATATCAAAATTTTCATTCAAGATTCAGTAAACCTTGAAATTCAGATATTAGCCAGTTATTTGTATGATATGGCATAAAGCTAGTTTAATTACGTAGTTTATCTAAAAATTAGAAAGGTTTCCTTTTTCCCTCTACTTAATCAATCTTTGGATTTAAAGAATTATTCAAAGATGACCTTATGTATGTTTAGATATTTTATATTTTGAATTACTTTGTAAAATAGTGTCCTATTTAATCTAGGCTAAAAGTGCCCTTTTTTCTATTTCAGGTTCTTGCATTATTCTATAAGATTAAAGTCAACAACAAAGCGTAATCAATCTCTTCATAAAATCATTTTACAAATGTCTATTCCGTTAACAAGGGTTCATTTAGAAAGCAGCTCTTTATGGTTATTATAGGATGTATCGACAATATTATGCTTTTTCCTATTCTTTGAAGTTAATTCCTAGCCACCATATTAAATTATTCTAGATATTCATATCCTTTAGGTTTTCAAGTTGCTTAAAATAGATTTGTATAGTATTCCCAAGGCAAATTTTCATTGGGATTTCTTTTCTAGACTACATCTTGTGATACGCTAATTGGCATTTTAAGCTAACTGGTTGTTTTATGACTTGAATTCTAAGTCCTAATCAACTATTAACTAGGTGATAATATTTTTCAGCGGAAACTAGCATTAATCAAAGAATCATCAGAGATCAGAAAGTACTGCTTAAGTGTTTTGTCTGGATTTGAAATGTATCGAAAATGTGTTCCACCAATCACAGACTAGATAGGCATTAGGATCTTTAAATCTTACAACAACCACTATACCACATGACCGATGAGTACAAATTTAATGATTCGTAATTTACAATTACTTTCATTAAATTATATAACTTAGAAAACAGAATGTAACCATAACGCCCTTTTTATTATATTAGACTATATCATTAAAAGACATGAATATATTCAATATACATATTTGTAAACCAGTCCTTGAAGCAGATTTATAATGTATATAGTGAAGATACTACTTGGCCAATCAAACAAAAGTAAGTGAAGTAGTAGCAGAAAATGAAAGTTAATGGTTCAAAGTAAAAACTAGATTTATTAAATTATGTTATTGAAATACACAAAGTACTAGCCTCCATCCTTGTTTTTGCTTATGTTATTCTATTAATTCTCGATGTATTTGAAATCTTTTCATATTGTTGGAAAACATATTTAGTATCTATTCGAGATGCTAATTACAACATTCAAATCGACGGCTACAAGGACTGGGTTATTTTTAAAGTAATTTTTAATTCAAACTGATATGAATCCTATAATGGCAATATTTAAAGAATACCAAGTTTTCTAGATAACAATAATGGATTTACTAACATTTTCGAATAATTTTCTAAATATGTGCTTGTGAAGTTGTCTTTCACCCACCAACAACTCACCTGACTATCAAATGGGAAGTATGTAATTTCAACTTGGCATGTGCTTCTGAATAATGCCTGCTGAATCCACAGTATATTGCCACTGCTATCTACCACTAAACGACCTTCTCGAAATTCTTGTAAACGTTCATCTGCACTAAAATTTTCAAAAAAATATATCGGAGAGTGAATGTGATTTCTTTCAATTTAATCTAGTGAATGCAATGTGGTAGGTATTTGTATTTCATGGATCACAGCTTATAAAAGTAATTCAAAGTGGTTCAATTAATTTATTTTTTTTATTACCAGTAAGCGTCAGAAAATCAGTATACCTGGACATATAATTGTAACATGTTAAAGTACTGGCCATATTACAGCTTTGAGATCTGTGTATATTAACTGTAAGAGGTGACTTCTTAGGTTTATAGAAGTCCTAACTATTAGATAGATTGAGCCTTCTCTAAGTGTTGAAAAGTTATTTGAATCAAGTAGGGACAACAATTGAAACAAAATTATTTCAGTTTACCATACTTTGAATCTTAATCGAATTAACAAGGACTTTTTATTGATCTAAAATGTTCCATAACAGTGCATCATCAAATATACCTTTCTAAAATTCTGACAATGAGAAGCGTTGTTGAGACGTTTATCTGAATATCTAGGCTTGATCATTGAAAAAATACTTCATAAAAAGAAAAAGAAGGATAAGACTAGAATAATATAGAACCTGAAAAATCTCATACGAGTTGCGTACTAAATTTTAAAAAGTTTAGAGGATTTAGATAATTTTCACAGACACCAGTAATTTTTTTCGAGAAAACAACTTACAAATTATAGAGTTTAATATCAGGTGTCCATATTTGATGTGGAAATATCCTCAATTCTTTAATACCACCATACTGACTTGCATTCCATTTCAATAAAGAATCACTCCATCTCTGTGTTACATTGAAATAAAATGGTGAAAAATGTTCTACCGATTAATAAACTACAAACTTTATGACTAATTTTTGATATATTGTTTGCTAAGAGAAGCTTACTTTACAAAACCTACATAGTTCATATTCGAAATTCTTTATTTCATTACAAAAATTAACTTCTCATACATAATTAAATCATTTGAAAAATTTCAGGAACTTCATTCTCTGGTGTTAGATTTCAGAAGTTTCTAATTACTAACATAATTGAAACATTTTCTAATTTTCTCAAAATTGAATTTCTGTTCCTTTCTTTTTACCAATAGATTGATAGTAAGAAAACTGAATACTGAGAGGTAATTGATGTTATGTTGTCTAGACTTTAATGCTACTCGATTTCCGTAAAACAAATTCGTAACATTTACTAGATGAAGTGACTCCAGACCATCATACACTTTATTGGATTTCAAATGTTTATAGATTATAGCCAACAACTTTTAAACCAATGTCTTTTGCCTTTTGCCTGAACACTTAAGGGATCTGATTACTTATTCGAAATTTGAACAGTGATCAACAAGTACCACTTTCAGATACTACCTCTAAGCTACCTTTATTCAGAAATACTTGTGAAATATTTCTAATTATTTGTTGATGTCAGGACCACCTTTAATTCATTAGATAGGACTTTTGGAGAGGGGTGTGTCTGATATGATCATTAAAATCTTGAAAATTTTGTATAAAATCACTTCGGAAAGAGTGATGATATGCAACCATCTTCCTCGGATATTTTAATCAAATAGAGGTATTACATAGGGTATGTCAGTCACACCACTCATCTTGAACTTTTCAGTCAATCACGTTCTGGAAACATCTCTGATCTGTTAACTGGAAAAGATTTTCAGACCTTGCTTAAGTGAGATGATTTCATTGTCCAATAATACACAGTCTATGCAAATAATACTCAATCATTTAACAACTAGTGTCCGTAAGTACTGCATACATTTCGCACTTTAGAAATGCACCCTTTGTAGTAAACTGTTAAAAATAGTCGAGACGATCGGTTATCTACGTACTTATGTCGCTGCTGGCGGTGGCTTGTTGGATGATAGATTTATACCAATCTGGAGTATCTTTAGTGCCTTCGTGATATTAATAGCAATTCTACTCTAAGCTTATGAAACCGGATCTTCTTGAGTTTAGGATGTTCGGCGACTCTCTGCAGTGTAGTGCCCGCACCCGATGCCGAGAATGCTTTTGATCCTAATATCTGGTACTCTTTATTCAATTGTATCTATCTTGATGGCTTGAGAATATCCTACAAACTTTATCTAAGAGGCTCCTACACCACGTGTTATTTTCCAACCGTAGGACTGGGTGAAAAAAATGGGAGTGGTCAATCTATAGAATAGAGAGGATAGCTGTATAAGACTGGTATCTGTAGGTTCACCATGCGTCTAGTGTTATAGTCCTAGAGACGACACAAATGAGTAACCTGATACGTTATCAGGCCTGTCATAGGACAGAAACTACTAGCGATCTTGATGTAGTTTTCTACTACATTCTTAATATAAGATGAAACTCGTTCAGTGAGAGTTCTTTAGTCATTACTTTTTGACTGAACTGCAGCCTTGATCAAAAACGATGTATTTACACTTAATTTGTTGATTGTCCTAACATTCTTTTCTTTCTGTAGATTATCATTTCATATGTGTTATGCCTATGATTTGTGATGCCTTATTGCGTCAGAATTTATGTGCTTTAAATAATCGGTAGGAGGAGCAGGGAATAAGTGCTTATATCTCCCACTTTTCTTTTCAGTGATGCAGTTTCAAATCTTCAAGAGAAGCTATTTTTAAAATCTTATGTATGCAATTACTTGACCTAAATCTGTTGAGTCATATCAATTAGCTTCTACTATCACGCCACATCAGGTGTACCTTGATTTTAACATGATTTAATATGTTTTAAAGACCATTATGCTTGCCATATAAAGAAGTGAGTTAAGATTTATCATAGCCAGAAAATGTTCTATTTAAATCACATCATTTGTAACACTCAGGAGAAAACAAAATACCATGATCAATAGGAATTCAGTAGATTGAAAAAAAATTCAGTAGGAGATTAGATCACAATAACCCAACTTACATATACAGCCCAACAATTTGTCCTTAAAACTTGTTTATTTTCGTCAAGCCCAAGGAGTTGAATCATTTGGAGACCATACTGAACGACCATTTTCACACGACTATTATTCACAGGTCTTCCAACGACACCATTTTGCTTATAACGTTCTAATATCACACGAATAAGTGATTTTTCCATGCTGCTTTCAGTTTCTGCATGGTCTTAATTAGATAAAAATGTCGTTCAAAAAGATTGGACTATCTTTTTTTAGGTAAGGTGATCATAATTTAGTAGTGTAATACACTTTACATTTGAAATTGGATTTAAACGATATAGGCGTCATGAAAATCATTTGCCAATCGACAATTTCAGCTTTCAAGATATTTTCCTCAGATAATATGTTATAAGTAAAGAAAACCCGAAAGGATTATAGAGAATCATGGTTGATAGTATGTGATAGTCACAATCTGTACTCTACACTAAATGAAGTAATGAAATTAGGAAGACCCAGTTATATATTGGTGCTGTCGCCTGATAATCAGAGAGAGGATTGTGATTCAGTCAAAAGTCTTCATTACTGAGTAGCAAACTAGATTGAAAGAACTGACTATAGAAAGGTTCTTGTTTTCTTAAGGTTCTTACGTTTATGTGATAACAGTTGCTTAGATCTTCCAGTATTAATGAGACTGTGTATTTATCAACACGTTCAATCAAAAGTTAAAGTCATCTACGGATTACTAGCAAAAGGTCTAAAGTCCTTCGACTCCACATTATTATGAAAAAAGTATTCTTTCAACACACTCATATACTGACAGACATATATAGTTGATTTGAATTGAGCATTTTCTCATTTTTCTACCTAAATATAACACAAGTGTTATTCGGGTAGACGAACTCGAATGTTGAAGAAAGTGCTACTGAGATAAAGTGAATTTGCTTGTTGATCATCTCTCAGATATTATACTCTGTACTTGCTAAACAATGGATTTATTCTAGAGCATGAGAATACTTGTGGCTTAGTTGCTGAAAGATTTCATATTCAAACACTAAGTTGAATTCCCAACCACTGGACCTTATGTTTGATAACTTCATACCTTTACCTTTGGTTTTTATCGAGACGGTAGGATGGATAAAGTATTTATCGGACACCTACCAACTACTGTCCAAAAGGCGATCCGCTAACATATATTTTGTTAATAATACGAATGTCAGTACACGATTCAGTCAAACTGACAAATATAATAGACAACTATATCATTCACTAAAAATGAAAATCCCAGATGATTGATAAACAGAAAATTTCCCGTTCAAATAAAATTATGTCTTCTTTCACTAGAAATTTATTATTCCAAAAAGTTGTCAAAAACATACCTACGTTAGTTTGTGCCATCAAAACTGTCGTATTAATAGTTAATTCAAACAGATTTTCTAAAATTCTGATTGAAATTTCAAAGCCAAAATGAGGTTAGTGGTATGTATCAGTTAGAAATAAGACATAAACTAAATTGATTGAGAGATCATGATACTCAGGAATGGAGGTGGATTTTATTGGTGTCAATGATGTACACTAGACTAACCAAATTGTAACTGACTAAAGAGATGTCCAACTACAAAATCAATGTCATCAAAACAACCATATAAGCAAACTGTGGATGAATATATGCGTGTGTGAATTTTTTTTAGAGTGTCTAATTCTGCGATCTGGGAAACCCTCTCTCCTAATCTGTGTTTGTGTCAAACACAGTTTGTATTGCCGATATATTGTTCACAACTGACATGTCGAACAAGCAATTTCGACAACTGCGTGAACTTCCCCGTGTAACAGTCAGTTTTCAAAAACTCAAAATTGTAGTGTCACAGTTTAGAACTAAAAAAATTATCGTCAAGCCATTTGGTAACTTAGTTCTCCTTGGATTTTATTCGACTGACCAATCATAAATAAAATCATATTTTAGGTTTGTTGTAACCCCACAACGTATCACAGCTTAATTCAGATTTCAATGTAAATTGTGGTGGTTAGTGTTTCAACGATAAGCTTATCATGCAAATTCATTATTTACACCCAAAAGCATCAACTTGATTACGGAATGAAACCTAGAAATGATTAACAGAATTCTGTTATCGAAAAACAAGTTTAAACACCACAAAGGAAAATAATCACTGACGAATATGCAACCCGGATTTTTATATCTTAGGAACTAATCAAAAACTTTCAGATCACTTTACCCATCCTACAACATGCTCTAATCGAGCAGAATTGTTAGTATTCAAATAAAATGGCCCTATGCAGTAAGGTTGAAAACGATTACAAAAAGTTTAATGTAGTACGGTAGATGATGACTTACTACGTGAACGAACTGTTGGAGACAGAAAGAGGTAGACAAGCACAACAATACATCCACTACTAAACAACATCAGTCATAAACAGGAATGCCATTCATCCTATAATGACTAACTCATCGTTAGACCAAATGTATTTTAAGTTTAATGGGGAAAATAATAATCCCTAGTTTAATACTGTCAAGGTTATAGATACTGAAATGCAATTGGCTGGTAAGATTTAAGTTAAACAACTTAGGAAGAAAAGTTAAAGAAGAAAGTGAGCGATGGCTAAACAGAGACCCATTGTCAAAAACGATCAATAAGTATTATTATCAATCGATCTACTAGAGTAAAATAAAATCAATTAAAAGCGGTAAGATACAACCCGTGTAGTTTTCTTTATAAGGAAAATTATAAAATGTTTATTGTAAGTAAACAATGCACAAATTTGTTTATCGACTTTCCAGTAAATTCTGTAGCATATACATGCGTGTCAGACATAAAGTATACTTATTAATAACTTGCCTGACACCCCTAGAAGTTTTTGAGAATAACATTAAATATAAAAATTAGCAGTGTTTCTGTTTTATCGTGAGGCTGTTTAGCCGTAGTCTATTGATGTTCCTGATAGACTTAACCAATAGGTAGTTTGGTGGAAACAAAGTTTTCAATGGTTATCTTAAGATGTTCACTTCTATTTTAAGTAAATATTAATGACATGGAATAAAGCGACAGTAATCGACAACAGTGTTTTCTACGAGCATCAAGGCAAAACAAACTTCTGGAGATATCTGGTAAGTTATTAATAAGTATACTTTATGTCTGACACGCATGTATATGCTACAGAATTTACTGGAAAGTCGATAAACAAATTTGTGCATTGTTTACTTACAATAAACATTTTATAATTTTCCTTATAAAGAAAACTACACGGGTTGTATCTTACCGCTTTTAATTGATTTTATTTTACTCTAGTAGATCGATTGATAATAATACTTATTGATCGTTTTTGACAATGGGTCTCTGTTTAGCCATCGCTCACTTTCTTCTTTAACTTTTCTTCCTAAGTTGTTTAACTTAAATCTTACCAGCCAATTGCATTTCAGTATCTATAACCTTGACAGTATTAAACTAGGGATTATTATTTTCCCCATTAAACTTAAAATACATTTGGTCTAACGATGAGTTAGTCATTATAGGATGAATGGCATTCCTGTTTATGACTGATGTTGTTTAGTAGTGGATGTATTGTTGTGCTTGTCTACCTCTTTCTGTCTCCAACAGTTCGTTCACGTAGTAAGTCATCATCTACCTTACTACATTATCGTATTCATGCAGATCGACCTCATAATATAGTTCATCATATACGTTGGATTAGTGACTTTCTATACCTCCTTGACACAAAATATTATCTAACACTTAACCATCTTACTTTTTCGTATGTGTTTTCAGTATTCGGGGTGCATTATACTTTTAAAAGATGGCAGGTCCTTCAAAGCTATCTGATGAGTGAAGTTAGTAATAGATGTCACTTATCAAAGCAAACTTGGTTTATGAAAATTATAGATATTTGACTATATAATGGGAAGAATTTTCTGTGGTACTTCAGGTTTAACACAAACCGACACCAATAATAATTTCGACCTCATTTCAGTAGTAAATTAGGAAAGTATAAATCTACCAAGTAATTGAATTTGTCAAGTATTACAGAGCCCCTGCAATATGGGTTATCGTGGTGTTTAAATGAACTGATGATTCCTTTGTACTTGTTGAATGCTTGATTTCGAATTCGAAATACAGTGCAATTGTTTGCGGTTATCTAGTACTTCTTGATCCGATTACGTTATTTCTGGGATTCCTAGTTCGTACCATAATTCAAATACTTTTAATTATCACATTGACGTCGCGATGGAGCCTGTGATGGGATTGTTGGATGTACATTCAGATGTTGATGCTTTTGAGGATTACTTTGAAAGGTTCGAAATCTGGGCTATGACCAAGGAAGATGCTGAGGATGTTAATATTGTAGCACACTTCCTCACATTGATCGGAAAAGAGGCATACAGCTTATTAAGAACTCTGACTATGCCGGAAAAGCCCATTTCGCTTCCTTATACAACTCTCAAGGAACTTCTGCCTGACTATGTTAAGTATACAAATTTCGAATGTGGTAAAGGAGGAAGATTTCGTAAAATGATTCATGAGGATATAAAAAATTCCACTGCATTACGTCATCCCAACCCAGACCATACTCAAGTTTATGCAGATAATTCACTGAAAAGTTGCGATGCAGTCCACGAACATGGGCACAAGTTTGGTCAATGTTTGTCCTGTGGCAGGTTCCACTCTTTTAATTCATGTAAATGTCGTAATTCTAAGTGCTTTAAATGTGGTGATATTGGACATATTCAGTCAGTTTTTATACTATTATTCATCTTAAAAAGAAGAATATATTTGTAAAATCTCATCGAATGAATTTTAAGTAAATCCAACGTTTCGCCTGGCAATCTGATCCAAGCTTTTTCAAGGAAAATATTCATCTTGCTGCAACGAATATTAAGTCGTGTAATTCTGATTCTATTAAGTCCAGTGTTCCTAGTGATCATTTATCCCTATCAACGATTTCAAAAGACAGTGTGGAGTCATATAGCAGATCAGAATTGAGTGAAACTCAGAATCTTTGCGAGACAACAGTTTCTAATCAATCAACTTATCAGATTTCTCATGTTATTGTACCAGATATGGTTTTTCCTAACGATTCACTTATTTCTGACGAAATTCCTTGCAAATCTGAGGAAAATATGTTGAATGAACCTAGTCATGATCGAAAACCTGATAGATGCTGATTTTTCTAATGATCCTTTACTCTGCAATGACATTCTTAATAAATTCGAGGGAACTATTTCAGAAGAGTCAAAGCTTGATATCATACCGAATATTATTTGTCCTCATAATGCATTTGTTTATTGTGAGAAATATGTTTTAAATGAAGCCACATCATTCACTAATTGGGTATATAAGATCCAACATTATTTCGTGGGGGAGGAAAGTCTAAAAGTGTGTGGTTCAAATTCTAGGTAGCAGCGGTTTCAGTACACAACCGACATGCTTATTACACAATCGCAGGAAGCAGGTGAGTGTTCCGATTTCGATTGTTAATTCTAATACTCATGAGTGCATTCTAGATAATAAAGATTTTATCCAATACAATTTCGGACAGACACAGGATTAACTTTAGAAGAAGACGTACAATTGATTACAGACACCTAGACTCCAATTTAAGCTGTGGCGGATGTGGTGTTTGAATGAACTGATGATTCCCTTGTACTTGTTGGATGCTTGATTTCGAATTCTAAATACAGTACATTCGTTTGTGGTCATCTAGTACTTCTTGATCCGACTACGTTATTTCTGGGATTCCTAGTTCGTACTATATTTCAAATATTTCTGATTATCACAGATATTTTTCCGGTAAATGTCAATGCTGTTGTTACGATTCATTTCAAACCCCTATGAAAAAATTACTACATACGCCGATCCCATTTGTAAAGCAACCATGATAATGAACGACGAAAGTTAGTGGAAGATTCTGGATACTGTGTGAATGACAGCTATAGTAGACATTAATGACTTGCACAGTTTAGGAATTCGTTTCATTTCTATACGCTTCATATTTGATTAATCAACCATCTATAGTCGTTACGACTACGATTAATCAGATACTAACCCCCTCCATAATTATTGGTTTTATCATTGTTCGCTGATTGCCTATAAGTTAGGTTCGGTATCTTTTGTAAAATGAACTATGAAGCAAAACATAAACGCTGGACCATGACCATCAAATAGAATTTCAGATCGCTTTGTTAAGACTGTCGATGCTTGGTGAGTCATAAGGAAATTAAAAAATTTAAAAACGATAATAAGAGACCGGGATTTTCCAACTGTAACAGAGATCTTGTGTTCCTGACCAAGGCAGTAAAACTAGCAATGCTTTTTTATATTCAATGATTTACCAGAACGTGTTTGTTAACGGGAAAATTTATTTCATATACATACCAGATTTATTTATCCCTTTTTAGATTGACATTTTACAACTTATTAATTGCATAACTAATTCTTTAGATTTCTAGAGAAAATCATTATTTCATGTTTTTTATGTTTACTTTACAGACTGTAGTGAATTGCCATATGTTGTTTAGGTAACCTTCAGCCTTATTATTATTGGAAAACAACTCATTGTTGAGTATTTTGCATAGAAATAATAGCTTTCCTTCTCTATTATTGGTTTATATACTCGACGAGTCGGCTATTGATTCCGTTTTATTTATTTGAGATTCGAGGATCAGTTGAGTGAGTAAAAATATTGTTTAGCCCACCTTCAATATTTCATTACAATCGATTGAATCTTAGTAAAATCTTTAATTAGTAAATTACTAAACAGATTAAAAGACAATGAATATGTGCAAGGACTAAGTGATAATATACAGCTTAACCAAAATTTAGATCAATTATTAGGAAAAATCCTATCAAAATAATAATTATATTCATAAGAGGAATGTAGATGGACAGGATAAGTAGAGCCCAAATTACATAGCCTACAAAATAAGAAACAATAAATTACCATTACTAAAATTCGACAGAAATTTATTAGAATGGGCATCAACCCAATAAATGACACTAAATGAACCAATTCAGTACCCACATCATAATTACGTTTTTAATGGTCAAAAATACCACCCACCCATCTAAAATGAACAAAATAAGGTGTGCAGCGTAACTATGGCCTAATAATTATGAATATCGTACTCAAACTATGACTCAAAATATTAAAATTATTGTTTGGATAGTATGTATTATTACAGAACGAAAATTGGAGGGCTGAAACTCTCGGTGCTATTTTCCAGATTATTATTTATATCTTTATTGTATAATTAATAGATAACTACATTGGTACATCACTATATCCCACTTATTACAAGGTTCCAGTGGATTTATTAATTATTCTTATGCATTTTACTATTCCTCAATCATTACTAAATGATTATGTAATGTTCACTTCACCTTCTACCACTTATAACATAATTGAGCTTTAA